GGAAGGGGTTTAAACCGGACGTGCTCGACACCGCAGGAGCGATCAGACATCAGAAAAGTGCAGCTGGAACGGAAGAATCAGGAAAACACCACTTGGGGACCTGGTATCAAAATACTCCGGGTTAAAGCAGTTTTCAGCTGGAAAGGGACGACTGGGGACGGGAGGCAGATATTGACTGTGTGATTGCACAGATAAAATCAATTTCTGAGGCGGGCCGAAAGCGGACTAAACGGCCCATCTGACCGCACCCACTGGATGCTAGAAACGCTGTCCGGAATCAGGTTAAACCACAGAGCCGAAGGTCGGATAGCCAGGAAATCAGTCCAAGGTTGCAGGAGTCAGGAACAAGGAGCGGTTGCGACACACAGAAGCAGATCTGAGCATGCAGAGTTACTGCCGCGCTGAGGCAGGTGCGTGGAGTACTTTTGAGCAGGTCCTTCTTTCCCTGGGAGTCGAGTCTGCCAAGTCTTACAGCTCCTCCCGTTGCCTCTGCAGGAGCTGCAGTCTGGTACTCCTTCTTCGCTCCTGCATAGTCATCCTCTGCCGTGCCCAACGTCTGGGGCACTCAGGAGAACTCAGCGGGGAGTCTGGCCTCGGGGTGTCTGCAACTGGGGGTGCTGGGCCAGGCGCAGGATCCATCTCTCCTTCTGGCTGCACCTCCTGTGCAGCTGCTGGGGACGCTTCCTCCTCCGGTGCTGCTGAGGGTTCTTCTTCTGGGCTGACTCCAGAGGGGGCTGGGCTGCTCCCTGCCTTTTCCTCATCTGAGGAGGAGTCAGCCTCAGCAGAGCCAGGACCCACGACAACTCCAGGTGGCACCTGGAGATTTCCCTCTGTTACTGTTGATTTCCAGAGAACCAAGTTCACCTGGAAAAAAGGGCTGCTTTGGAGGGTGGACTCCATGTCAATATACCCTGCTGAAGTCCCTCCCCAAACCCCGCCCTCTCCAGTCTTCACCCCCCCCCGAAATCTCCAGGTTTTCCCTAACCCAGAGATAGCAACCCCATGACAGGCCCCAGAGCCACATGTGGCCCAGGAGAGAACCATACGCAGCTCTTTTTAAAAAGAAAAGGAATTCTTTAAGTTTGTTTATTAATTAAAATATTTGTGTGCCGTCTTTCCTTGGGGTACAAGAAGCCTCCAACTCATAACTGAAACATCACAATGTAAAACCAACAAAATGGAATCCCAAGGAAACAGACGCTTTCTCGGAAATACCTGCAGTTTGTGACCTGTTTGAAGCCCTGGCGAAGGAAATTGAACTTGCAGCAACTCCTGAATTTTTTTATTCTTATTTTTTTGCTGTCAAGTCACGGCTGACTTACGGCGACCCCGTAGATGTCCAGGGGTGGTTTGCCATTTCCTGCCTCTGGGTCACAGCCCTGGTATTCCTCGGAGGTCTCCCGTCCAAACACTAGCCAGGGCTGACCCTGCTTTGCTGAAAATTACAAGTCCTCAAATGAGGTATATTGGAGGGGTCAGTGAGATGCTAGAATAAGCGTTATGTGAGGAAAAGGGCAAGCAGAGATTTTGATAGGATTCAAGGGCTTCTTAGAAAGGTTTCACAGAAGGGGGAACAGTTGTCAGTAATTCCCAGTGCGAAACACATGCAGATTTAGATCAGCATGCTAAAACAGTTGTACTGGGTGTTCCTGTGTGTGTGTATGTGTGTGTTTGTGTATCCAGGGGTCATTTCGTAGAAAAAGGTGCAGGAGCTCATGAGCATACCTCATTAGCATAACTTATTTGCATATGCCACACCCCCTGACATCACCAGAAGTGTAGCAGAAGGCAACACCCACCGCTCAGGCTCCACTGGACTGTTTTGGATGGCTAGCTTTTTTTGGGGGGGGGACGTGCAGATCTGTCCTGACAGAGGAGGGAGAGCTTGTACCTGAATAAAACTTGGTCTTAAAGGTGCCACTGGACTGTTCTGGCTGCTTCTTGCTCTGACTGAGGGCTGCTGGGAGCAGGGGGTGGGGCTTGTTGCATGTGCCCGCCCCCTGGGCTCTTTACTGCCGGAACTCCACTCCTGTGCGCTCCTGCAGGAAATGACCCCTGTGTGTATCTATCTAATCTATGAATGACTTAATGTGAGACCTTGTGTGTGCAGTAAAGGACTTGCAACAACCAGTGTCTGGACTGCAGAAACCTCATGGATTACTAGTCGACATGCCAGTTATCAGTAATGTTAAGCTGCATATTTTCCACTATGGAAGAGGAGTTCTTAAAGTGTATGCTGTGGGCTGAGAAAGGGAGGGAGGGAATGAGGAACAGGAAGGGGGCCGTGAAGGCTCGCCTCAAGGTCCGGACAGAGTCGGGGTCTGCAAGGACTTTTAGCCAGTGGCGCAGTTTGGTAATCTTAGATCCTGGACGGAATGGCTTTACGGGGGCCCAGATTAGACAAGAAGCGGCACCCGCAATACTCGTGGTGGGGAGTATTCCCAAATGCTCCCGGCCTCCAGAAGCAGCTTCGCACTGAGGAAGCGGCTGCAGGTGAGCCTTCTCCCGCCCCGGCACCGGTGGCGAGGCCTGAACAGCTCCCAGCCACCGGGCCTGTCGAGCCTTCTCCTGCCCCCCCCCAGCACCGGCAACGAGCCCTGAGCAGCTCCCAGCCGCTGGGCCCGCCGAGCCTCCCGCCCCCAATGGCGGCGAGGCAGAGTTCCCAGAGCGTTTTCTGCGCATGCGCAGGGAGCGCTCTTTTACTTTTGGGTGGATTTAAATATCCCCTGTATAGTTTTTAAAACTTTTTCAGAATTTTCTGCACACCTGGGGAGTGCCCCGAGTGTGCAGGAATATCTCCCCCAAGTGCCCCCGATGTGCGGATGTAGATATCCGTACAGAGGGGGCCTCTTGGCTATTAGTATATAGATGCATGCTTACAAAGGCAAAGCCGCTGCTGATCCTCCCCCTATCAGGTGAGCCCTTGAGCCAAGGCCTGGGACTTCTGCCCATATGACATCTTGGCCTTTAGCAGCCATTAGATTTAAGGCTGCTTCACCCATTAACAGTACAACACTGGCGCCTCCTGCGCCTCCTATGGGCTTAGACTGCAGAGAGCTGCTGCCAGTCATAAACTGTCCACACTCCACCTTGTGATCCTTGGAGGGAGGGCAGGATAAAAACGTGATGGAAAAGTAGATACAAAAACTGTGCAAGTAGAGGGACGCCAGCCTCCAGGTGGGACCCCAGAATTACAGCTCCTCTCCAGACAACAGAGATCAGTTCCCCTGGAGAAAATGGATGCTTTAGAGGGTGGACTCTACAGCAGTGGACCCCACTGAGGTCTCTGGCCTATCCCCCCCCAAATCTCCAGGAGTTCCCCTATCAATCTGGCAGCCCTAACCCCCAACCACCGCCAGTAGCTGGGGGGACCTGGCCACCCACTATAGGCAAGATTTTGAACTGTTTTTAGTTATGCTACTAGCTGATGTGTTGGGCCATAAATATAGCCATGCCAGTTCTTCAAATTATTCTGGTATCAGAGATTTCATTGGTCTGGATGTGTGTCACCTCCATCAAAGTTAATGATCAACTAGTAACATAACTAAAAACATATAAGGAAACAACATCTGGTGTGT